TTTTTTTTTTGCCATTCTGGCAAAGGGGGAACGGAGAGGAGAGGAAAGGAAAAGAAGTGCAAAAAGTACCTTTTGGTGGGTGTTTTGAGAAAAGTTTTTTTTGATTTTCCGATTTTTGATTGTGGTTGGGATCGGTGGTCTTTTCTTTTTTTCTCCCTTTCTTTCTTTCTTTTTTTTTTTTGACAGAGGGGTTGTATTATGTTAGTGGTGCTTTGTGCGGGGGAGGGGGGGGGGGGGTTGGGGTTTGGGAGTAATTACTCGTAGTGTTTAACTTGTGGTGTTTTATTTATGGGTTGGATACGAGTTAGACCAAGGCCGGAAATGTCATTATTGATGGATGGTTATGATATTATGATATTATGATATTATTGTTATTATTATTATTATTGTTATCATTACTATGATTGAGGTTTTGGAGGTTATGGATGATATCGTTGCCGGTTAGTTGTGCGATGGGGTATATGATTATGATGCTATGTTATTTATTCCGGATAGATGGGATGGATGAATGGAGCGCGTTGTGTGTGTATGGTAGTCTAAATAGGCGGTTGGAAAGTAAAGTGCGGGAGAGATGAGTATGATAGTATGGTGCAGGGTGTGCTTATACTGTCATACATACCCGTAAGAGAGAGAAAGTTGGACCAAAATTTTGTCCGTATCCTACTATCGTAGCAGCTACTGTGAAATTTCCACTCGCATGACAGAACAACTCGAGAGGAAAATGAATCCATTAATCCCCAAATGTATGATGAACCGTGTTCCTGTACGGTACGTATGATAGCGTCCATCGTACGATAGGTCCACGACACAAACATATGATTGGTCCAGCAAAGAGGAGAAAAAAAAGAAAAAAAGGGACCCTTTCACAACTCATCTCACCCTACCCTACCGACGATTAGTTAAGCATCGATGCATTGTTGCTATCGTGGAAGGAAAAGAGGGAAGGATGAAAAAAAAAAAGCTCGTATGATGATGGGGTTTGAAGTCTGCCCATCCATCCATCATCCATCCATGGCTTATTCCACGAGATTCCTTTTCACGAGGTATAACATCACGCTACCCCCCTTCCCCTCTCTCTTCTCCCCCTACCTTTCGGATCCTCAGCCCAGGTCAGCAAGCGACCCGGAGCCTACTGAAGCACCCTGCCTGCCCGCCAGATGCTGGGAATCGGAGTGATCTTGGGATCTCGCGCTGGAGGATCATGGCGGACAAAGTCTGTTTCTCTGACCGATTCAAGAAAAAAAAGCTCCCGCTAGGTGTCGGTGCCCTAGGCTGTGACCACCCTTCCTTCGTTCATAGCCTGGGTTGGTTGAGAATGAATGATGGCCCGCATGGGTGCTCGATCGGTGGGTTAACCCCTCGCACGATCCTTTTGGCGGTTGGGATCTTAATTTGGATTCGTGGGATTGCTGTTGTGTTGTTTGTATTGTTCGGTGTCGAGTTGATTATTTTTCTTCTCCCTTGTGGTTTGGGGTTCAAGCTTATTCGGCTTGGGGTTTGGTGTTTGTTGGGGGTTGGAAGTCGTGTGAATTGCTAGAATTAGGACTTGTGAGTTTTAAACACTCTTTGGGAGAGCGTGTCGTACTTTGGTTAACGACTTGTCGCTGTTGTATCTGTTGTTGGTGAGAGCGGTGGTGACTGTGCCGTTTTGTGATGGATATCTGTCTCCGTTATACGGGGGTCGTGGGGTTGATTGGGACTCTACTTGGTTCGTGAGATGGCACTGGTGTTCAATGACTCCTCGCTGTTAACGTGGTTACGATACAAAGGGAAGGCTATATTTCATCTTTCAACTGTCTTATCCGAGGCTCTATGCTAAGAAGACTGCGAGAGGAAACTCTGGCAAGCAAACTCAACCTCTCTCCGCGTCATGGCACTCGAATGCCACACCTGCGCAACCGGCACTCCCAAAGGCAGACGTGGTCCGAACCCGTGATTCGGGAACAAGGAGCTCTCATGGCGGTCTGTTCTCCAGGAATGATCATTCCCAACACGTTTACGAACGGGCCCGGCAGGCACCCGCTCTCCGGAGGGAGATTCTCTCAACAATTACCACAAAGCGTTCACAGACTCTCCCCGAGTAAACCACCCCATCGCGCCAGTCCGCCTCTCGGCCTCGCAAGAAGATTACCTCGCCGATAACATTCACCCATCGCCAGCCAGCTTCTCACCCACAAATACATCTCCATCACAGCCCATCACTCTTACCTCAACCATCTGCCCAGCCACCCAGCACGTGCAGCACATGACCAACCTGGGTCCCTAGAACTCCGCATCCCACAAACCCGGGTCGAAAATCCCGGTGTGTCGGTGACTTGCTTTTTTTTCTTTCCATCCCTGTTTCTCACATGGGGGAATAAGTTAAAGTTTTGCCGGGGTTATTCACGGGTATTTGGCTTATCACATCATAGATGGTTCATATAACAGGGTGTTGGGGAGTGGGAGGTTGTCAGATGCGCGGCTGGGTGTCGTAGCTCCGATTAGGTGAAGGTGGGGGGGTGGGGGAGTGAGGAGGCGGGGCGGTTATGGTGGTGGCCGTGGTGATGATTACAGGTATGATACTGCGGTGCGCGGTGAACAAAGGTCCGCAGGATCAAGGCTGTCTACACCGCGCCATCGCATACTCGGTAAACCACGGTGCCGTCCATAGGCACCACTCACTGGAAGGAAGGCGAACATTCTCCACTCTTCAGAAGGGATGGAAAGATAGCCACCTGACCGAGAGAATCTAGCGCGGGAAGGGCTATGCGTTGCAAGGGAATCGAACCGCTGCCAGTTACTTGGAAGCCAGTTACCGGTATCCTGTCACTGGACCGGTAGTGCCTCGTTAGTCTTCATGATATTTTGCAATTAGATTCTAATTCGGCCAAACTTTGGAACATGCGCATTAGTGAATGTTTGAAGGGTGATTCGTTGGGATAACCTTACGGCATTTCCTCCCATACTACATATAGTACGAACTATTATATACACTTGCGTCCCTACACTTTGTAAAACACCGCCGTTACCATATCAAAAAAAATACATTCTCAAAACCACCCGTTACAAAAAAACACACGGCACCATTCCAAAAGCATCGTACCCGTATCATACCAGTAGTTAGTCAGTATCCCGAACCCCTCCCGAGAGCCCGATCCAAATTCGGACCCCTTTTGCGCACTGAATCATTTCCGATTCCCGTAACTACGATGCTACACTGTCATCCCCCCCTAGTGGATCGAGGGTTAATATCGACCCGAACGGTATATATATAATAAAGAGCGAGGGCGCATATATGGAAAAAGTATATGTAATGTGCCGTATAGCAGAAGACTTCTTCTGACAGGAATTCTCCCTCTCTCTCCTCTCGGTTATCACGGTTTATTGTTGTGGGGTGAGTTGAACATTCTGGAGGGGAGGGAGGAAAGGTATGGTACTGTATATGCGAGGGTATGATAATATTATGATAAAGTTGGCGTGGTTAAACATTCCCACACCACACGCCTCCTGCGGGGCTAATTTTGCTTGTAGGGATATGATGATTGTTTGAGATGGGTCGAGTTTTTTATTTTTTTTAGCTTTCTCTATTATTAAAGTAGAGTTGGCTGTGCTAACTGGAGCTAAGGGATGTTATATATCTATCGCACCGGTTCAAGAACCCCGACCCCACCTCTGGCAAATTATTACAGCGAAGGTCATGACAAGAGTTGGATCATCGTCATATCATACCCCACTAGGTAGGAAGAGGAAGAGGAAGAGGAAGAGGAGCGGGGGTAATCGATATTCAAAACAACTCGAAATAAAACAACACGGGCACTGCCTGAACTGCAATACACTTTTTGACCATCAGGATGTGTGAAGAAAAAAAAGCTGCTCGCCATAACGTGGATGGATGAAGTATCATACTGGAGACTAGGCGCTTCCGATCTTCCTATCATACCGCTGAATGGCTGGTGGGTGTTTGCGCTTCATCCTCATCCTTCCGTTTGGGACAGGTGTTTGGAGATGCTGGCAGATTTCTGGAGCATCGTATCCACGATTTTGTATGATAGTGTATATCATGTCTTGATCCTTTTCTCTGCGCTGGGGTATTTGGTCAACGGTACTGCACATCTTCCTCGTTATACTTTTTCTTCTTCTTTCTTTTCTCTTTCTTTCCGTTACTGTAGTGTGAGGGCTTGAATCCGATGAGGTGGATATCCGGGCACTTTCTTCCCCCCCACCCCCGAGCGGCCTTCCTGTCTGTATATCTACTGGGAGTTTGTATGACAATACTAGATCCAAACTTACCTACCCAGCCAAGCAATGGATAAGTCAAGTATCCCGATATCCCCAGACTTAGTACGTAAAACAGATATATACAGTTAAAGCGCTAGACATCCTCCTCCCTCCCGTTCTCCAAGCTTCAGGGTATGATACCACATCATACAGTATCACACTCGTACCGTAAAATACAGTACACTCCCCGTCACAAGATATCACCACATCATAAACTTCCCCAGCATGTACAGTACAAGTACAGTAGATAAAATCGTAGGTAATTCCGATGGGTCTTTACACATTACACCCCACTTTACTCCAATCGCTAGCTTCTTCTTCTTACCAAACACACACACACATACACCACAGCAAGCGGAGAAGAAGAGCATTGTACAGTACTATACGCGAAACATTCACCTATAAAGGTCAAGTCGAGTCAGCGCTCCAAATCAAGCTAACAATCCCAACGTCCCCTCGAGCTCGTGACGGGAGTGGGTGGTTGCGGTGAGTGTGCGCAGTAGAGTAGAGTACGGGAGTTATATGATGCTCGATCGTAATTGGGCTACTGCACTCACACGAACAGATACATGTATACTAACTCTAGGCAATATAAGAGGGGGGTGTAGACCAAGTACTGTGCATTTCGTCAATACATGGCGCAGTGTTATACATTACATCATGAATCATAGGAGGAGGAGGAGGGGAGGGGGAGGGGGAAAATAAACATACCCGTCTCGGGAAGGATGGAATCGACCTTTTTACCCGTGACATCACTTCGGATACTTGATATCGTGTTATATAATATTATGATACTAACTGTACTGTACAGTACCATACCCGAGTACAGTATGGTAGGTTCATATGATGATATATCGTACAGATATAGACTTGTTCATGTGGTGTATATATATATGTATATATTTACGTGTTTTGATACTCTGCCGGCATACATACATACATTCATTCATACATACATGGATGCGTACAAACATAACATATACACTAGGAGTGGGAGGAAAGGCTAACCCGTGGACACCGTCGTGTCGGTCGAATGGACCCATAGACATGCGCCAGCTCTGTCATATTATTGTGAGAAATCGCAAAAAGTGCTCTTCTCGTGGTATGATATGATATAATCAGACAGGATTAGCTGCGTGTCGGGGGTAGTGTTTCACGAACCGGTCCTGGGATCCGAGTACTAGTACATATCACATATACCTCCCCTTCTCCTCCTCTCCCTGCGCTCTGGTCCGCTATTGTTCCCCCCCTCACTATTCATGCCTAATGAATCGGTCTGCTGCAAAATGAACCCCCTCGCACACTCCTACAAAGCTGTGCCAATCTAACCCCTAAAATCCAACCAACGCACACCCCCTCCCAACGCGAAACGCGGGGAAACAGCCGAGCGCCAGTCAAAACCTCCGAAATCCAATGGGTAAAGACACTCCGAGTGATACTTCATGCACATATATACTACGAGAATGAGGACGGCTAGTGTGGCGCGTGAGTGGAGAATCTAATATATTTTGATAGGAAGGAAAACTGCCAAACTAGACAAAACGCAAAACTTGTGTGCTGTATATACTAGGTAGATAACTTGCTCCTCGAAAAGAGACCAGACGATGCAAAATAGGCTAGGTAAATTCCCGCGGGCAGGTTTACTCAGCGAAAAGAGAAGTGTAAAACAGACAAGAACATGGACAAACCGGAGTAGATAGGATAGAGAGAGAGGAGAGAGAAAAGAAGAGAAAAGGGGGCTCGTTTTTTAGATCCCACCAGCACGAACCCCCTAACAAGGTATAGTAGAGGATAGTAAAGCAAAATATAACAGAAAGCCATCCCACCTAACCGCCCGCCCTTAAGTTATAAGCGTGGTTTCCTTCTAGTTCCCTTTTCCATCGGTATACCGGACAACTTCAAACCCCCACCGGAACAAAAAACCGGAAGGAATAAAAAAAAAAAAAGGTTGTCATCAAATCGCAATCCTCGTTCCCGTTCTCGTTCGATGGTTCGTTCGTAATCTTTATATACATATCATTTCCATTAGACTCAATCGGAACCTCTTCCCCCTCTGGCACCTCATCCGGAGCCCATGATCCGATCCACACCAACAGTTTCTTTCTTCTCATTTTGCTCTATTTCGGATATTTTTCGTTACTCGACACTATTTTCTTTTTTTCTTTTTTTACAAACCCACTTCTCCAACAATCTTGGACGCCTCACGGTAAGTCTTCAGGAGTCTCTCGCACTTCTCCCTCTCGGCCTTGATAGCATCATCCTCGTATAGAAGGTCGCCGAAGAATTCCTCCTTGTACAGCTCTGTTACGAGTCTGTTCTGGACGGCGTCCTTGCTGAAATTAACGAGGAAGTGCATAACTGCTTTGGGAACCTGGTCCTGGATGGTCTCACGGACAATGTTAAAGTAGGAAGAGATGAGTCGGCGGATCAACTCTGTCTCCATCTGTTCCCTCTCAGTCAGGGCTGGCTCGTCAAGAGTTGCGGTGAAGGGGACTGTTTCCTGAACGCGGAGGGATAAGTGGTTAGCATACATCACACTGGGGCGGGTCTTATTTTTGTCGCGTACTAGACTAGTATCATCGAAATTTTGTGAAAGCCTTGACATGTCAAACACAGGCTTCTCGTTCCTTTCTGTCCCACGCCTGATGCTCTGGGTAAAACTCGGCTCAGGTGCGGATCTTGGCGCAGCTCCGCTGGTTGCCGGCATACTACCCTCCTTTCCAAAAAAGTAGTTCAGGAAAGAGTCGGTTTTGTTGGTCGTTGACCCTGGTGAGGTGTGCACTTGAGGACTGCTCGGTCGCCCATTGATGCTCATGGCAGTGCTAAGAGCTGAGGATTCCAGTGCGCCAGGGGCAGGCGAAATTGATCTCGACTCACCACGACCATGCATCATCCGAGCGCGCTCAATTATTGGATTCTCTTCATACTCGGGCCCACCCTCACCATTAAGTGTTGGAGGTAGAGAGGAGTTGCTCATGCTTGTGGGCTTGCGTCTGTCACGCTCCTTCCTTCTTTCAAATGCCTGAGCTTTACGTTCCTTCTCTTGTTTGTTTTGGATGACGGATGACATGGCCGATGCTGCACCAAGGAAGTTGGGATGGTTAGTGTTGATATAGGCTCGTTGTATCGCGATCAAGCTCTCGACATAGACCGATGTAGGTCCTAATCGCTCCCTCAACAAATCACTCACAACCTCGATCAACTTGGCCTGCAATCTCGGGAATCTCGAAAGTTCCGTGGTTCCACAAGTGTGGCAAATCTTGATGAGCTCTTCGTAAACCAACTCGACACACCGGTGGGATGGAATTTCCAGCAATCTTATCTGCGGCTTGACAAGCAAATCAAAGGCCAACTCCGGGACAAATAAGCTAGGCCTCGGTCCGGTAGAGTTTCTGATAGCTGTTCGGATGTCGAGAACCGAAAGGTTGGTGGTTGGATCAATTAGCTCGAGCGAGTTGCCAAAAACACTGTTAAAAATGTAGTATATCCGTGCGCCACCACAGAGCTCCTTAGTGGAGATTTCGGACGAAGTACCATCAATAGATGAAATAAATGAACTGGCGAATCGCGTCATGAGTTGTAGAATTAAGGAGCCCTAGGAAGGTTGGTTAGCTCCCGTCTTGCAATACGGTATTAGGAGGACATACTCTATGTTCTTTACCACTAAAATGCATGTCCCCATAGGACGCAAGCTCTTGTTGGGTCTGGCCCATAAGGGTATTAAGTCTAGCTTTGATATCGGGTAACCGATCTCTAATGTGTTGCATCAATGTCTGTTTGAGTTAGCCTCGCATGTTTTCGAATAGCGATCCTAGCCGGCTTAAGCTTACACTATTCAAACTTTTTGCCAGGAATTGAGTACCGCATCTGTGCGCCATATTCCGGTAAGCCGGATGGAATTTGAAGAACTCTTGCTCGGCCCTCAGAGCGTCAGCAAGGGACTTGTTCCCTTGGATATCCTGTTGTGATCGATTGACCACTCCGATAAATCCAAGTTTTAATGGGTAAACCCTTCCAGAGAGGATCTCGAGGGCGTTGGTGCCATGATCCATCAAGTCCAACTTGGTGAGAACGCCGATCGTCCGTTTGCCCTGCGGGTCAACTTGCCGGGCGAGCTTCAGAGCCTCAGAATTCACAAGATCAACATTTGCTGGGGAAACAGCAAGGACGATACTGTTGGGCTTGGCGATATACTCGGATATCAGGTTCCTAGTTTGTTTCTCGATATCTGTTGGTTGATCCCCGATCGGAACCTATGTGTATGCAAATTTGAGTCAGCCGCAACTCTCCGGCACAAAACCAGCTGAAGGATGACGAGAGGGAGGGAAAAAAAAACACCTTTGTCAAACCCGGCAAGTCCACCAATGTCAAACTAAGAACATGAGGAGAGTAGATTTTCAGGTTAATAGGAGCCCTGTTGATACCCTTGTTGTTACCGGCAATCCGAGACGTTTCTGCCTCGATTTCCCTCTTGATTTCGTTGAAATCATAGTAACGTCTGCCAAGCTGATGCAGAAATTCTCCAAATTCGGGCTGTTCAGAGTTGCCCTCCCGGGTGTGAGGTTCCGCACTGCCCTCGTCGTTGGGGATATTGATGAGTTGAAGAATGAGCGGACGACGAGTGACAATGCCTGAACCGCGTGGAAGAAAGTCACGGCCCACGATGTTTTCGAGCACCGAGGATTTCCCGCTAGATTGAGAGCCGACGACCACCTATCAAGTAAATCATCATTAGCCGACGTTCCCGGACATAGGGAACAAACTTCTCAAAACGAGCCGCAAGTGTGGGGATTTGTAGGTGTTTTCTTTACAATTTGAGGTAGATCTAAGCCAGAATCTGATCCAATGGTATTAAAGACCTATAGCCAGAGTCAGATAACATCCCGATGATTGCTCATTTTCCAAAGGCAAGGGAGAGAGGGAAGGGTTACAAGATCCTGCAGCTTATTCACCACCCCGAGCAAATCCTCGCTGTGAAGGTGATCAGTACAACCGTTTCGAAACATATCTTTGAATGGAAAAACGCCTACCCGAGAGAAGCCATCGTGAGAGCAAGCGGGGGGACAGAGAGAGCGATAGAGGAGATAAAAAGAAGAGGCAAGCTTCCTGCGGGGTAAGGGGCCTCGTGAGGATTCCAGTGAGAAGCGGGCGGGGAAGGTGAGTTGTCTGTGTGCTGGCGAATTGATGAGTAGTAAGTATCGCAGGGCAATAGAAATCTACTGGAGAGAAACTTGGGGGACCGCAAGGAGGTGCGAAACAACCAAGCAATCAATGATTCCTGGCGTGCTGTGACCAACCACGACCGCAGGAGTTCTGAGAATGCAAAAGTTCGAATAAGGTTGCACAGGCGGGTCTTCAAGCCAACGGCTCAGGAGTCAGGGTTTTGGCTAAGGAAGTTTTTTTTTTATCATACACCATCATATCATACGGTACCGGCAGTTGAAGTTGCCCTGCCATGACCTTCTCGATTGTTAGAAAAAGGGTCCTGCTTCGAATGCTTGGATTTTCTCCTCTTGCCACCGGTAGACTACTTTTTCGGGGTTGTATTTGGCCACTCAAAAATCCGGAAATTTCTATCCTATCATACTTGTCATGCATGCTCTTTGCCTCCAGAATTGGAACAAAGCGGCAACCGGGCCGAGGTAACGATAAGCCTACGGAAAAACTATTTTCCGAGGCAGGGGCCGCTTATGTACTCGAGTACTCAGATCTGCCAGTGGTTGCTTTTGCCCTCGGAAGGAAAAGGCCACCAAGACGAGACGACGTCATTCCTCGCGCATTGTGATTAGGTCAAGACTTCTGGGAAACATTTTGGTGAGGAAGCGGCCTGTGGTTTTCTCGCTCAACTGTGACCGCACCCAAGCAAATTGCGCGTCCGCCCGCCCCGCTGGTATAAGAGGGCACCCCTACATCGGTTCTATCATACACAATGGTGACCCCCGCCATTGGAAAATCCTTTTTCTCCTTTCCTCCCTCTTCTTCCTCCTCTGCGCTGAGGAGTTTACTGAACATCACACGATCAACAACAACGTTCAGACCATCAACTGCCTGCTGTGCAACTAGGCCGGTTTCAATTCCAATAATCCACAGAATGCCTCTCGTCCGTCTCCCCCACACACCATCAGTTTCATCAATTCCCCTGCTTACAGCTTTTTTTCTTCTTTCGCTAGGTTACTATCAATCAATCCATCCGCGAATCGTAAGTCGTACGATAAGTTACTTTGTGATATCGAGGTCAATTAGCACTAACATTCTGTCCCATGTCAGTCTTAAGAAACATGGAGTTATTCCCGATGGTTTGCCCTCTTATCCAATCCCGAGCAACTGCTTTCACGCTAACACTAGCTATTGTCGTAGTCGTGGACGACTTCACCCCAACAACCATGATATCAATTGCATATCCCAACGCGAACAAAGAGGTCTCCCTAGGGAACACCCTGAAACCCGAGGACGCACAGGAAAAACCCACGATCCAAATAACCCCAGAAGGAACCGACGAGTCACAAACATACACCATTGTAATTAAATCAACCATGACACATATCCATTCTTGTTATGTACTTGTCAAGGAGAAGGAGTGGCTATGCTAACGAAACCAACCTTAACCCAACCCCCCACCAGGTTCTGACGGATCCAGACGCACCATCTCGCGACAACCCGGAATGGTCCGAGTTCTGCCATTGGATCGTTACAGATGTCAAGCTTCCTTCCTTGGAAACCCTCTCGTCTGCTCAAACTGCCGAGGCCGCTTCGGTCAACCTTTCCGATGCGAGTGAGCTCGTGGAGTACGCGGGACCGACACCGCCGGAGAAGACCGGGAAGCACAGATACGTCTTTCTCCTCTACAGGAATGAGGGCTCGAAGAAGCTGGAGGGGCCAAGTAGGAGGAGGAAGTGGGGGAATGATGACTACAGAAAGGGAGCAAGGCAGTGGTCCGATAAATACGGTCTTTCGCTCGTTGGTAGGATCCGCAGTATATTTTCCCGATTGGGTGATTTTCCTTGCTGATCTCGCTTTGCACTGCCGGTATTATAGGTGCGAACTTTTTCTTTGCTCAGAATTCGAAGCAGTGAGGTGATGAATCAATTAAGAAATAAAATCCAAACATCGGTATCCTCCACTGCGCGAAATTGCATAAACATATGTCCGTGTTGAAAAAAAAAAAGGGGAAAACTTCCAGGCGGAAACATGAAAAAAGAAAAGCCAAACAAGCCAAAACATCCCAACCGTATCACGATCCATAAACACCACCCAAATCCTCCACACCACCATCACAGGAACCCTGATCCACCCGGCTACACCCTACCGATATCAAAAGACAGTCCAGATCAGCAGACCCCGTGCTATATATAACATTATAACAACAATCGCTCCCCATCCTTACCCCTCCTCCCCCTCAGCAAGCCCAAACAAGCTCAGAAATTCACCCTCATCTCACTCACATACTGGTTCCTTTTCGCCCTCCGCGGACTCGGAGCCTTCTCCTTCTTCTGCTTGCGGCCCGCGAAGGCAGGTCCAGCAGGCTCCATTCCAGACCGTAACCTCCTAAACACAGACTTAAACTTTGACCCCGCCGATGAGGACTTCGCCGAAGCGCCCAGTAGAAGGCGTTGAGCAGTCGAAGCGCAAGAATCGATAGAGGGTCTGAGATTGGGGATGCCGGACATGGCGGGGTTCGTTTCCGGAGACGCGGGGCCGTAGAGAAAGAGCCGAGTACGGTAGACTATTCGTTCGGGTTACGGAAAGGTTGCTCGCTCTTCTGATTTTTTCAACAGCTTTGTCGGGAAACCGAGTGATTACTGGAGCACCGCGAACTCGATGCAGAACTTGGTGAAGAGCTGAAGGGACCGGAAACATGAGCCCTTTTATCCCCCTCCCAAAGCACATACCGAGCGCACGGAAGCACCAAGATGCCCTCTCAACGAAATAATAATAAAATAATAATAACAACAAATAGATACTCGACCCACCACCACTGCATTGCCGCTCAAGGTCCTACCTTACCTCCCACCTGCCATATCGCGCATCACATCCCACCACGCTACGATATACCCAACCGCACCTAAAACAGGAACACCAGTTCATCATTCCCACCTGCGAGCAAAGTATCGCTATAGTACTGGCACTATCCTTTATCCAGCCCCGGAAACCCAGCCCCTTGCCAACCTGCCTAACAAGGGTGGGGGGTGGGGGGTATACCGGTATGATACTTGTATGATGTACTGTATCCGGGCCTGCTAATACAATGTGCTTATCGCTCGTTACACGCCCACTCAGCCAGTGGGAAGGGTAAAGCTCTGTCCCTTTTCCGGATACGGTGCTGTGAGTATAATATACCACGATAGTGCTCTCTCCCTGCTCCCTTCGCCTCGCCCGTGATAACGGTATATCCGATGTAGCTCTTTTGCAAGGGAAGTCGAGGAAAGCTTGATTAATCGGCGGTCTCGTTCGGTATTGTACTAGTATAGTACGAGTACTACATTATAGGTATGATACCGTGCTAGCCGGTTTTTTTGTTTTTCATTTTTGAAGCGCAGCGGGGTTGTTCAGTCAATCAGTCAATCAGTCGAATCTCGACGATTTGGTGTGCCTTCCTCGGTACTCTGCCCGAGCGATGGATGATCTACCGTGGGGTACGGTACCCGAACACGCGACCAACCAACAAGTGCGCGGGGGCGAATCACTTGCTTTGCCTCCCGATCCGGTGAGTTTTGGGAGAGGTGCGGTACAGGTGATTTCGTGCTGCGGGGAGTACGGTTAATCGGACTATCGTGTTGCGTACTGTACTAGTATAACAATAATAACTGCTCGATTGGTGGGTTTTGATGGGGGATTAATCATTTCCTCACTTGGACCTTTTTCTTCTTCTTTCTTTTCTTTTTTCTACCTCTCGGTACTTGTGTGTACTTGTACCATTGTACGGTACAGTATGTCTATGATATACAATCTACTACCATTCCGTTAATCCCGGTACCAACCTAGCGCATTCCATCAGATCTCTCTCCTCTCCCCTCCCACTCCAGCATAGTATCGCCTACCATAACAACCGCCTTACCAACGGCCTGTTTGGATACGACCGTTCCCTCCGTTTTCATATACAAATGCTGTTACCCTTCCGTTGCATAACGGTCGTATCCGAACGGGTCCTCGCTGTACTGTAAACTGTGCGGTATTCCCAACTCCCCGCTTCCAATGCCACCTACGAAACTGCACTGAACCGGATGGGATGGTATGGGTGGATGGGACGATCCGAGTGCGTGGCCTGCACGATCGGCTGTTGTGCTACTTAAATTACTATACCGTATCATACTATGATTATTTTTATATGCTGGTGGGGGAGGGGGGGGGGGGGCTAAAACGGTTTAGAGGTGGGAAAGTGAACATGGGATTATCACATCATACTATGATAGCAGAGTAGGCCGTGGGCGAGGTGCTATAGGTAGTACCAGTACTGTACGAGCACGAGCACATTCGGGCATTATATTGTGTCACACTTGATATTAACTACCGGTAACTCACGAGCAGTGTGGACTATAGTACTGTACGTACTGAACCGGTAGGAGTCCGCAGTAAGGTGAAACCAGCAAAGCAGTCCACCAATCAACAAACCCCTACGAGTACTAATCTGCCACTACCGTACCACCACTCCAACTACTCCTATTCACTATGATAAAAAGAGAAACATAATGCCTGGTATCTACGGTAGTAGGTACACTCCATTCAACTCATCAGTTCATAAACTACTAGTATACGCCAAGCGCAGAACGGAACAAAACAGACACCTCACTACTCACCCGTTACGATGGTCTAGATACCCGTGCCACAGTCACACACATACAACTAATGCCAAAGCTCGAGCCCGGGTTACGACGTTAGCAACTTACCGGCCAAATCATGACAAGGGGCAGGCAAGGACCGGGACGAAGCGAGCATATCATACCGAATTAGATAGGATCTGTCACCATTAGTAGAACCCTGGCTAGTTTGCTCTAGCGTGAGGTTGGTGTACCGTGTTGGCTACACCCAATTGAGCAAAGGCCAGAAAGTAATAGGACTTGCAGGGGAGGGAGGGGATTCTTCACGGCAGTGAATCGATAGGGGAAATGGATGCAAACCATCCCTGCCAGGGAGTGTGCGGTATCCATTACGAGCAGATTTTTACTTGAACTTTGCGTTGTATGATAGGAGCCATATGGAAGGAAGGACTCTCGGAAATTCCGTACCCCGCACTCACCCTTCGAATCTGGAAAAAAAAGTACCCGAGTACTGTACTCGAGTACTCGTATTCGTGTGGCTTGTGGATAGTTGGCTGGGAATGTTCCAATGCTTTGGATATCGTACGACTGGAGCGTAAGTTAATGGTGGAATTCGTGCTAATCACAGTTGTCAGCCCGTCGACAAAACCCAATGCATACTCCGTAAGTCGCTCGCACAGTTCCAGGACTCCACTAACTCGGAGTGATGGATACAACGAGAGAAGAAAGAAAGAAAGCAGAGATCAAAGCCCAAAAAGCGATAGCCCAATCTGCTATGATATATATATATATAAATCTTACCGCTGACCCGATAGGATGCTTTACCCATCCCCATCCTCCCCTCCAGGAGTGATCTTTTACAATGGGGGTCCGAAAGCGGTGCCCTGGATGCCTCTTTGGGGCGCATTAGGATCCTTTTTTTGTTCATCCTGAGCAAATAACAAGTTCCTCCAGGGGCTGCGCACCACAACCTGGCGCATAACTTAGCTGTCGCCCAACACCCGGCGCATCGTTGTCACCCAGATTCCACAGATTCGCCACCTGGGCGATTACTAGATCCATTTGTTTATCTCACGAAAACGATAGACTATTTCTTGATTACAATACCATACCATATCATCAAATTGAGTATTTCTGTACAGACAATCCTGATTTATTCATTTTACTGAAGCAATCGGACTGCTCTGTTTGATAGTGCAACTTTTTGATCTTGCTCTCCAGACTTGATGCCATTCTTGTTGAGGTGGTCTAAGTGTTCCTCACCATACAAGCACTTAGGATGTGCGCATAAGTCTACAGAAGTCGGGTATGATTGTAATGAATGTTAATAACTTCTGAGAAAACTGAAGATCTGCTGCTGGATCAGAACCTGGAGGTTAATATTTACTTGTATGATACCATCTCGAAATGCCAAGTGCAATGAACTGGACATTCCTCCAATTCCTCAAAAATCCGTATTTCAGCTCCAATTCTAGTCTAGGGGAGGGGCGGTGTGGTGGCGATAGGTGGCAATTGAATACTTGTATTTATTAACCTTCGCTAGGATCTACAGCTGTAACAAGCGCGCTTAAGGTGCCAATATTCGCCTTAATAACTTAGTCCATAAGTCTGGGACAGGAAGCAGGAGTTCAGAATTTGCAGGATAATAGCTCCTGGTACAAGAGCTACTGCATTGGGTGGAGCAACCTTGCATCACATGTCAATGTCACCATATTTTTTTGTAGAAGGTGTTGCGTTTTTCATTGCAAGAAAACCCCTATTTGATAGGTGGCAGCACTACTCGTAGATATAGACATGGTACTACCTGCTTCATAATCCATGCCTTCCAGAGAGTAATTACCCTCGGGTACCCAAGAGCTGTCGCTAGTGCCTATACTATCACTTGTGCCACCACTAGTACCAGATGATACATCCTCTTGAGGAAAGAAGCAGCAGTGTATTGGTGTATTACCATCAGAGAGTATTATGGTATATCTCACAATGGTCTAGAAAAAATAAATACTAATTGGTTTAGTGGACACTCAAACTTAATAGTAGTGTTTTGGTTACCGTTTCTCCATTCAGAATACTTACTTATTCTCTGACCTCTACTGGTATTGCTACTCTAATTATTCAAGCTGTGGAAAAAGTTTACCATAGAACGAAATTGCTTTCTACTGGCAAGCTGGATAGTTTACTTTTACACTACAGTAACGAGAATCAGGAGGCAACTCTTTGAGTCTATGTACAACTGTTAATGATGGATGTAGATAATATTAGAATATGTGGCTATTAAGTACTGTATTTTTGATAGCAATTTCCTTATGATCCAACTCTCTTTCTACTCTAAACAATGAGTAATCTCTTGTGAATGTGTCCGTATAGTGGGAGATGTGCAGGACTTGTGTGAGTGAGTGTCATAGGCTGCGAATTGGGTTTCCAGCGTTATTTATGTATTGTGATGTAGTTGTTGTAGGGGCGAGCTACATATTTATAGTACAGTATCATCTTCTGCCTATTGGAGGAGTAATGGCTCCAGGCTCTAAGCAAATTTCAATATCACCGATATTACTTGTCAAACTATTTAGTCTTGGTTTCCTTGCCCAAACCATTTGCCTAATCATTCTCAACTACAACAGCCTTGATATAAACATATACTTTAATCAACTTGTAAAAAAAATAAAAACAAAATATATACATCACAGGACCCCCTAGTATAAGGCCTTCTTCAACTTATATCCTGTAATCTCAATGGCACTCCTGGCAGCTAGAGAATCAGCAAAGTTATTGACTGTAACAAAGCCCTGAATGGTCCCGAGAAATCTAATAGTGGTAGAACAAACATCCAACCCCTGCAACTTCCTTTCAAAATCCTCACCCTCCTGTCTAAGTAGATTTATCTCTAAAACAATTGCCAGTGTAAAGGTTTCTGGGAACTTAGTGAGAGCCTCATTGCTCAGGAGCAGGGGACTGGTGGTGTCCTCAAGCTCTGAGTTCACATCTGGCAAGAATATGGAGGCCACTCAGCCGATATCCTCTGAGGATAGACCAGGACCCTGAGTAAACTCTTTCTCTGTTATGCTCTCACAAGAGAAGTCAGTACCCAGATAGAAGAAGACTTGTGATTTTGGAAGAGGGGTTTTGCGTTTAATGCTGAGGAGGGTGACAGCTGCTAATAGGTACCCTATATGCCATTGCCCAGTTAGTTCGTAAGCAATTGGGACGAGGAACCGAGAAATAGTGGAACACACTACCAGTACTATCCCTAGCGATGTCCATCTTTTTGGGATCAAGACTGAGCTTTTCACTATATTCCAGTAACCACTGTATAGCAGTATAGGTCTACTTAATTGGTATCAGATACACCACTTTGAGACTCAACGCATAATCAACAAAGTACACAGCAGTACCCGACTCACAAACCAAGTCAACAATAAGACTTTTATAACACTTTGAATCTCTGAAGACTCAGCTGCCACCTAAAAAGTACAAGTCCTCCAATTAGTAGCACTCCCACCTACTAACCCACTACTATTTTATGGGGACTAGTATATACAGACCTTGAAGGAAAATAATAATGGGTAGCAAGTCCTGCCCCTTCTTCCTGTTATCGAATATTGGCTTATAAAGGTAAACAGTGATATTCCCAGTTGGACTAACAGGGATAGAGAGAATTTTAGTAGTGATATTAGAGTATGAGATGTTGTCCTAGACAAAATCGAATGTGGTACATGCCTGAGCAATCTATATGTACTGAGTGGTTTATCAGATTGGGCTATCTGGGGACATCTAATCCGCGCAG